TACCTGGTGCAACTGGGAACCACCAGCTGGAGTGGAACTGGCCCCAGTTCTGGAGGCTAGAACTCCTGTGAGCAGCCTGGTCCTTTTCCTTCTGGAGCTGACCCCATTCCCACTCTGCTCCATGCAGCTGCTAGGCAACGGAAGCCACAGATGTGGACTTGCTGGAGTCTGGCATAAGTCACAGAGTTGCAGCCAGTCACTCTGGGTGGCCTGTCCTCTCCTGACAGCCACTGGATCCTGCAGGGGCAAGTTGTAGGGTTCTTTCTTGGGGGGAAGAATGAGGACAGGAAGAGGAGAGGGCAGAGTGGGCATGGGGAGAGTATCCAGAAGGTTGAGTTTGTCGCTAGGTTGACCCCCTAGGCCTCTGATTACTGTTGGTAGATTAGCTGGAACTTTTAAGGTAGAGCCTAAAAAAGAAAAACATAGAAACTAGCTTGTTAAACATGCTGGCCATGTCAGGTTTTTCTGGTTTACAGGAAGAGTGTCCACCTCCCTTTGCTTCTGATCCCTTGGTAGCTATCATGGTTTACTTCCTAGGTACCTGTGAGAGCAAGTGGAAGCAGAATAGATGGCCCCCTTCGAGATAAAGGTGCCGCCTTGTTGGCCTTGGGCAGAACAGGTGGATCAGTGGAAAGTGCAGACTGGAGCTAGAGGCTCGTGCTGTCCTGGGCCTCCTTGGTCTGGCCCCCAGCAAGAGGTGACCATAAGGAAGAAGCCACCAGGGTCAGCGAGAAGACCCATCCATCAGTGCCCTGTCTGTCCGAGTCTCTTGGCGGGGCTGCAGCTGGCAGCCTGGGCTTGGCAGTGATTCCGTAATTGGCACTGGAGTCATTAAAAGGCCATTACTGTTTCCCTGAGGGGTTATCATGTAGTACAATCTAGAACAGTGCCCATCTGAAAAGCTGGGAGGTGTTGGTGAGAAAGACACCCTAGGAAGGGTGCTACAGCGGCGATGAGGGGGCGGAGCCAGCTGGATGAGGGCAGAGAGGGAGCTGGGCCTGCTGAGCAAGAGGGAGCTCTAGTTCTGCTGTCCCTGGGGACAGCCATCATTGTTGTCATTGTTCTCCACCACATGCTGCTGTGTGCTGGGGATTCTTTGTTATTCACTCAGGAGAGATGTTGTGTGCTGGGAGGTGTTGTCCTTAGCCAGGAACATTGTCCGAGTACAAGCTTGTCACTTCCAGATGACTGTGGTCTGCCCAGTGCCCTTGCAGTTCCCCTGGAAACCTGTGCTTTCCCAGGAACCCAGTTTTAGCCACGCGTCAGCCCACTGTCCAAGGCTCCTGGTTTGGTGGATTCATTGCACATTCTCCTAGATGGGCCTGCTCAGCCAGGTGCACGCCACACGTGGCCACCTGCCACCCTTGCCGCGCACACTCCCTTTCTTCTGGGTGCTGGCACACACCCAGTGGTGAGTGAGTGGTGGGCACCTCCGAGAACCTGAGGTTCTCTGGTCTCAGAGGCCCTGCCCTTCTGTCCACCCATCTTTCTCCAAAGGCCCTGGGTAGGTCCTTTCTACCTGCAGTCTTATCTGGTAATCGGTATTACTAAAGCTGGTGGCCCTTTGTCCTTCCCTGTGGGGACTGGGGACAGAAGCAGAGGAAGTAACGTGTTTATGAAAGTTGCCTCTTGCCCCTGCCATTCGTGTGGAATGTCCACCGTGTTGTGACACTGGCTGTGGTTGGAAATCATCCCCCCTGCATGCATGAGGACACCAGAGGACACAGGTCAGTGAGGCTGGAGTTGGTGGAGGTACCTTTGTCAGTAGAGCTACTACTGTGAGCCAGCATTTCTAGAGGTGGCTTTGCTCATGTGAAGAGAGCTTTACCTCTCAGCCAAGTGGTCTCTTGTACATGACTCTAGACATGACTCTTCACATTGACACATGGAAGCCATCTTGGTTTCTTGCTCACCCAAAACCCGTGTGGGTATGACCAGGGTGACTGTCTCTGTCTCTGGAAATACCCTCTGAAAATGCATGGCTTGTGACATTCCAGTCAGTTGCGAAAGGGACTGTGACAAGAAGCACAAGAGGAAGCCTCATGAAAGTCACAGAGGACTTCTGTGGCTAGGCCACTAGCACACAGCTGACTGTGAGGATTTCGGCTGCTCAGTCCCAGTCTGGAGTGCAGCAAGCAGAGCACAGCCGGGCTTCAGACTCCGTCGCTCGTGCCGCAGGATGCAGCTGTGCGGAGTGCAGACTGCGTCTTTTTTTCACATTTAGAAGTAATGAATGGTTGTGCACACGAGTAGAGCTGGCAGTAATGGACGGTGTGGCTTGGAAGTTAGCTTTCTGGTCACTGGGACCTGATGCCCAATACTTGCAACTTGAAGGAGGAGAGCTTTATTTTGGCTCATGCTTACCATGGGTTTGTTCCACGGTAAGCTGGCTTCAGGGCAGAAATAGCAAGGTGGAAATGGTACCACATGATCTATCCGAGAGATAGATTCCAGGTTCTTGTACATAGGGAGTGAAGAATTGCGAATGTACACCCCATGGGGGAAAGAAAGAGCAGCAACATGTGTTGAAGGTGGCGGGAAGGTGTGCTCAGGGCCAGTTCATGACGATAGAAACAAGAAGGTGGCACAGATAGTTGTGCTGGGAAGGCAGGGGAATAGGAAAAAGATGAAGGATCAGGCTTCAGATTTTAAAAAATCTATACCTCAACCCAGGTTCCTCTCCTTGGACTCTGGATAAGAGTGACAGAAATGATTGACAAGGTGTTGAGTCATGGCAGGGCTCCTAGTGTACACGACTCTGGCAGAGTTCACTGTTTTAATCACTTGCAGGAGATGTAGTCCTTCTGTGTAAAGATTCAAGGAGATTTGCATAGGGAAAGGCTTACTGAAGGTCATCTACCGTGCATGTGCCCGGGAGCCGAGCTTTAGAGATTTCCTAGGTCTTTGTTATTTTTATTTCTGCTTCTCTCAGGACAATGGAAAGAAGATTCGCCCTGGGTTGTTGTCCAAATTCAGGTGGACAGAGAGGTTGCGATCAGTCAGTCCTGATTGTGTACTAGGCAGCTGCAGACTGCTCATGTCCTGGTGGCCAGGCTAACAGAAAGAAGGGAGGAGCTGGGGCCAAGAGTGCTCCCTTCAGGTCCCACCTCAGTGACCCACCTCTGACCAGGCCCCACCTCCTGACAGCAAATGTGCACCCACACGATCTAATCACCTTCTGAAACCATGCTACATCTCACCAGTAATAGTCTGAGCAAAGGCTTTGCTGTTGGTTCACACAGCAGGACCGCGGACCGGAGGTGCAGAGATGGTTGGGAGCCACACCTCTGAGACCTCGCAGGGCTCACCAGAGTCTTGCTCATTCCAGACCCTCAGCTTTGCTTCAGACGCTCTCGCTGCCCCTCCATCCTGTGGGATGCGCTTACCATGGTGGACACCTTCTATCGGCCAGCTTGGATATTTAGGGAGTAGTTTAGTCCTCAGGTCCTGGCAGTGTCCTCTTATGCAAGCAGGCTGTTTTAAGAAGACTGAGGCCTAGAGGCGCCTGTGGAAGGGTGTTCTCTCCCAGGATCTGGCAGCTGAGGGTTTGGTGAATGAGGCAGTTTTATGTGTAGCCCCACATCACACTGGAGGCTCTTCTGAGGTGCAGAGCAGCCCACAGGTGCCAGGAAAGGGCTCCCTAGATATTAGCGGGAGAGAATGCAGCCAGTTAAAAAGATGTGTTGTTCTTAAAGAGCACAGCCAGGGAGCTGGGTAGGGAAAGCCCGAGGTGGTAATAGGCAGCTTGTGGTCAGCGGCCTTGCTCCCTCTATAGAATCTGTAGGGCCATGACTATTAGAGCTAGAAAGGGCAGGCTGTCCGTAGGAGTTGGAAATGGAAATGGCTTCACCTTTTCTTTGGAGTGATTTGACTTTATCTTTTCCTTCCCACATGTACTGTATCCACCTTCACACCAGAATGCCCAGTGCTTACACAAGTGTGTGCACACATGTGAGTATGCACATGAGACATACTCAGCACACTCCTTATGGCTCCACACCAGCCTAATGTGCTTGGACCTGGCTAAACATGAACCCACATTCGGGTCTCGCTCAGGGGCTGGCTCCATTGTGCTCGTGCCAGGGCTGCCCAGGGCTTCCCAGTGTTCAGTTCTACAGGCTCCATCACCATCCCATTCAGCTATTCTGTCTTACCGTGGCCCCAGGGTGTCTTGAACTACCAAGAAAGCCCAGTGCATTGAGTTACCCTCTCCCCATTCACTTCCTAGGAGGCAGAGCAGTCTGGGAGAGATGAGGATACTGCAAGGATTTGGTGCCCCCAGGTCTCCTTGCGCCACATCTGTGGTCCAAGAAGGATTTTGCAGCGGGTTGTTGTGCTTTGCATTGACCTGTTGTGCGCGTCTCATAGACATCTCCTCCCGGCCCTGGCCCTTCTCTGGCACTGTTCGGGTTCTTAGTCTCCTTTTCCTAAATGCATGGGATCCACTGCCCTCTTTAAAGGAGAAAGGGAGATGGATGGTACCTACACCCTCACTCTATACTAGGAGCCACGAGTTTGGGGTGAGAGGAGAGTCTGCCCCAAAATGACCCAGCATCTTCCAGAAAGGGTGGAGAGGAGGAGGGAAAACTGTGGTGAGATCTCCAGAAAGATTTGGAGTGAGCAGGCCCCTGTAGGGAGGGCCAGCCTTGGGCCTGGCTTGTGGCTGATGCCTCTCCATGGCTTCTCCCAGATCTCAGTTAAGCCTGATCCTGCTCAGGGGTGTGGGGGTGGGGAGGGTCTCATTCTGTTCTTATTGGGACCAAGCAAGTCCTTGTGGCAGTGGGCACTAGCAGGAAACAAGCTCCCAGAGTTACAGAAATACAGCTCAAGACTTTAGTCTTGCACAGGTTTCTTGCCTCCCTCCACCATGTTGGTTCACAAAGTCCGGGGAGTGTTGACGGGGTGGGGTTTAAAAGACTCATGGATGCGGCAGGTTCTGGGCTGACCCCACCATCTCCTGGGTAGGCCCTGAGCACCACTCTCTCCCTCTGCAGTGTCTTAGATGATGAGGGCAACAACCTGAGGCAGCAGAAGCTTGACCGGCAGGTGAGTGTGGCTTAAGGGTGGGGCTGGGTGAACGGGCAGTCTGGGCTGGTGTCTCCGAGGGGACACAAAAGGCTGTCTCCCTGGGTGGTGGAGAAGAAAAGATGTGCTCTCTCCTGTACCAGCTCAGTGTTAACCCTGCCTCTCTGCATGAAGCTTCAGCCGACAGGCAGCTGGCCTCACTGCAGTTGGAGGGCTTTGCTGCTCTTCCCTGCACCCTAAGGCTTGGGGTGCCTTGGCCCAGGGCAGACTTTGGACCCCAGTGCCACCTCTGGAGCCCAGCCCAGGGAGCAGAGCGATGTTTCTGGCCTCACTCCGTGAGCCCCACTGTCCTGCTGGAAGTGAGGCCAGACCTTCTCTGTGCCTGCCCTGTGCCTCTGTAGCGGGCCCTGCTGGAACAGAAGCAGAAGAAGAAACGCCAGGAGCCCCTGATGGTGCAAGCCAATGCCGATGGGCGGCCCCGGAGCCGGCGGGCCCGGCAGTCAGAGGAGCAGGCCCCTCTGGTGGAGTCCTACCTCAGCAGCAGTGGCAGCACCAGCTACCAAGGTACACCTTGCCTCCTCCTGGCGGAAGCCAGCCTGGGAGACCCCTACATTGTGGCTTGTGGGGGGGGGGGCTCTCAAGGATGTCACTGTGATCTGGGCAGGTAGCAGACTTGTCCTGTCAGGGTTTGCCCAAGTTGAGTGTATCACCCAGCCCTGGACAGTGGGTGGAATGCTCAAGTCTCACCTCTGGAGTCATCTTTTCAAACCAGAGCCTAAAACAATTTGGGAGTCCAAAGGTCCAGGTTTCTAATCTGGAGCATTTGACAGAGTGCAGGAGGCCCTGCCTGGGCATAGTTGAGTCTCCTCCCCACCTGTCTCCTGAGAGGAACCTGTCTTGGCATCCTGCCCCACGCCAGTGGGGGTCTCCCGGGACACCTTCCTGCTTTCTTCTCCCCTGAGCCCTCTGCACCTCCTTCTAACCCATAAACCCCTGTCCCTGGTTCAGGACCTTCAGCGCCCTAGTGACTGGTTGGCAGCCTGCCACTACTATTCTCACACGTGCAGTTCTTGGAAGAGTCTACCTTCAGAGTGGCCCCTTCACATCCTTGAGCACAGGGCTTTTCCCTCCAGCCCTGGTTGGGTTTAGGGCCCCAGGCTAGACCTGAAAATTGATCTCTAGGCTTGGGAGAATCAGTCGCTACTGCCCCCTGCTGGGCTGGTGCTGATCATGCAGGTGGCTGCTCCATGAAATACAGTAACTTTGAGAAGGTTGCTGCCAGCTGGTTTTGCAGGTAGCAAGCAACTATGGTATTCCCTTCCCTCGGTGGCTTCCCTCTGACCTGGAGCCTCCAGCCCTATGGGCCTGATGCCTTTGTTCCCCAGCTCTGCAATGTGCGGGGTTCTTCTGAGCAGCCTCTCGCACACCCACACCCTGGTCTGCACTTTAGAGGGCGGCAGTTTGGTCTGTGTCACTCCCTGCCTAGGTTGTAGCTTGGGTGTTGTGGAAGCACGGTCAACCTTTGTGCACATGAATTCTCTGAAGGAGCCCACCTTATTTCTGATAATAGAGCTGTCTTGGAGCATTTGCCAGGGCTAGGCAGGTGCTTGGTGCTTTGCCTGTGTTCTCCCTGCTTCCTTGCAGTGACTCTTTGGCCCCATATGGCTGGTAAGGCATGGGCTCAGAGGGCCTCAGCAAGTTGCCTGTGGTGTCTGGTAGTGAGCAGCAGCCTGGACTAGGTGCGGGCCCCGTCAGGCTCCTGGTGGTCTTTCTACCCTTTTGTACTGCCTCCCTGGTAAGAGCTTCTTCACAGTCATCCCTCCTTGTGTACCTCAGGTTGGTGCCCTGGACCTTACCTTATTTGTTGGTAATCCACTTGATAGGCCCTTGAGGAGGCGAGGGACGTCGGCCCAGCTGCTGTAGCAGCCTCTTTGTAGCGGCCTCTTCTCCACTCCCAGGAAGCCCTCCAAGGGTGGCTGGCTGTGGTCCACTGAAAGGAAGGCCACCACTGTCCTGGGACCTGGGAAGCCTGACCCTCTGCTGTGTAGACAGCACATCCCCAGCTCTGCCAAGCCTGACACCCAGGACTTGCAGCCCTGCCACTCAGTGCGTGAGGCCTGTACCTTGAAGAGTCGCTGCTGTGGAGGTGTTCACAGGGGTTGCTGGAGCACTGATTGTGGGGCTGAGCCTGTAGAAGGCTGTGCTGAGAGCCAGCGAGCCAGTGCCTCTGAAGGTGGCGCAGTTTCTGGTCCTGCCACTCTGAGTTACTTGTTCGCTTATGACTGTGAGCAGTCATTTGCCCTCATGGATCTGTTTCCTTCACTATAAAATGAAGGGAAATCTGTGGTAGGGCTTTGAAAATGGAAGGAACTGCAGGCTCAGCTCACTAAGTTTCAGCTACTGAGACTCCTGAGCAAGGCAGGCCTCCAGGATTCCTCCCCACAAGGGAAGTTGACGGTCGTGAGGTGCACACTGCTTCTGTGGGGACCCAGTCTTTGTCTGCCTCCCGGTAATGGACCAAACCAACCCTGGGGAGGCTGCTGACCTGGGAAGGTGTTTCTGAGACTTCCCCGCTGCCTCGTGATCTGCCCTCTGCTGGCTCGTGGTGTTAAATGCAGGAGCTATTCCAGGAGCAGGACAGCACTGATGCCTCATCCCAGGAAAGCTTTGACCTGCCACTGTGCTCATTCATGGGACACGTGTGTCCATTTCCCAGGATTTCTTGGAAGACCAGTGCTGTGCCAGGCTTTGGATAAGGAGCTGTGGGTCCCTGGTGAGCATAGACAGGTGTGGTCTCTGTTGGCATGGACCTTGTGGTCCATGTGGGGAGGCAGTTACAGATGGTCACAACTGGAAAGAAGCCAGGCTCTGTGAGGCACAGACAGGACCCTGTCTGCTTGGAAAGCCCAGGATGGTTTCGTTGACCTGGAATCTGCAAGATGAGTGAGAGGTAGACTTCAGGGGGTGGCAGTGTGCGCAGTGGGAACAGCCTGGACGAGGCTCTGTGGCAAGGGGCGTACCCATACCCAGGTTGAAAGAGCTCTCAATGCCCGCCCGGGCAGTGGTGTGGTTAGGCCAAGGGAAAAGGAGATGGAAAAGCCTAACAGGCAGGAGAGTACTGGTCCTTTCCGTAAGAGCAGTCAGAATCCTTCAAAGACTGTGAGCAGGACGGGGTTCTGCTATGTGGCAAATGTGGAGCCTGCCCTCTGTGGCCTGAGACTTTCCCACGGATGTGCATGGCTCTGCTTATGCTGGAGACCTTCCTGCAGGTTCTGCTACTGTGCTCGATGCCCCAGGCCATGCAGGCTTGTGTTGGCCCTGCCTGTAGTCTCTTCAAGAAGATGCAGCCTTTGTATCTTCCTTCTCCATCCCTGTGACCCACAGTCCCACAGGCATGCCCTGCCCCTGCCTGGACTCGGAGCAGTTTGCTAGCTCAGAACTGCAGTTGCTCTGTTTGTTGGCGGACTGCAGCTTTGGCCTGGTGTGGCTTCCCTCACGTGGGGCTGGGGTAGCACCTTCTGGCAGAGCCTGCTCTTTATCTTTGCCAAGTGGAGATAAGGGGGTTCAGGTGGTGCTCAGAGGTATGTGTTGGGGATAGGGGCATGTGGAAAGTGCTGTGCTGGGAACCATGGGGGTGGGGTCTCGGCTCACCCATTGCCCTTTTTTTGCCCTTGGGCTCTTTCCTGAGCAGTTCAGGAGGCCGACTCGCTTGCCAGTGTGCAGCTGGGAGCCGCCCACCCAACAGCACCAGCCTCAGCCAAGAGAACCAAGGCAGCGGCCGCGTCAGGGGGCCAGGGCAGGGCCTCGAGGAAAGAGAAGAAGGGAAAACACAAAGGTTAGCCTGCCTTCTCCACATGCTGCACCCAAGGAGGCCCAGTGCCCACTGCGGGGTCGGGGGGAGAGTACCAAGTTCTAATTTACTGGTATTCAGGCCCTGCTCAGCTAGCTCACAGGCCTAGTCAGACTCATAAGTTATCTGCGTTGCCCTGAGTATGGCCACCCTTTTCTCGCGCCCCGCCTTCACCTGAGCTCCCTCCATTCTGGCCTCTGCGCCCCGCCTTCACCTGAGCTCCCTCCATTCTGCCCTCTGCGCCCCGCCTTC